TTTATTGCATTGTCATGTGGCAGCAATTGAATATACTGTTGCAGCTGGAAAACATGCAACGTTTTGTGGTCAAGCGCACGACACGTGCTCTCCGCACCAGGCGATGTGAGCCAGTGGCTCCTCATGTTCTCCGATTGCCGGCGGTCAACGGGGCGGATGGGTAATATGTTCAGGCCGCGTTCTGACAAATTGCCGACAGAAATTTCCGCTGGATTTTCCACTAATGGTTCATTTTCCATAAAGCTGTCAAACAGCGGCACTCTGCTCTCACTCATTGACTGACACTTTGCTCTTGAATCGAATTCGGTCAGTTGCCAAACATCTGAATACCTCTGTAGCCGCCAGTCATTGGAGTTTTTCCATGTATTTAAAGAGCGTCTGTTTTGTTTACGCCAAGTTCGCAGCCGAAAATCCACTTTTTGTTGTGATTTTTTTCGGGTATTTCCAATTGACGTTGAGCTTGGTTATGTTTATGCTGTTGGTCTGGGATTTTTTCTTTCCCATTTTTTAGTATGCTAGAAATGCCAATGTTCGTGAAATTTGACACAACGAATTTTTAAGTACTCTTTACCTATTGAAAAACTGTTTGAAGGCTACAGCACTCTTAAAATGGTTTCGTAAAAGCAGCTTTGTTTAAAAATTATCATGACATTTTAAAATTTAATTTTTTTGAACTTCCTTAGCCTTTTCTTGAAGCGAAAACTATCCTTTTTAAAGGGTATAGAAACTAAAAAAGAAATGTTGGTGTGAGATGAATGGAAAACATTTGGATGACCGCGCCGAAGTCAATTGCTACTACAGTGGCGTATATAAGTTGGTTTTAAAGTGAAATAATTATTAAATTTTTTCTAATAATAAAATATATATGCATTTGCACTTTAATTACACATTTTAAAGAGATAGAACTGGATGCCTAAAAATTATTCTTACAATATTTTATTTTATTTCCAATAAATTTTTGCCCCACTGTAATATGCCCTCTAGGTCAAAGCACCGCATGCAGTCAGAGCCGAAAAACGGAAAAATGAAAACAATAATCCAACAATAACAATAATTTCTTGTGTTGAATTAATAAATGTGTATAATAAGCCCGTTGTTGGCAGTAGCAACAAAAGCTGGCTCATAATAAATTTGTGATTTCGTTTATTTGTAGTGGAATATCTCATGAATTAAATAAAGTAGATTTCCATATTGCCATTGTGGGCTTTCCCAGCAAAACTCGCTGCGATTGCATCGGCCTTTTTCAGCTGCCAAATGCGTGTTGTGGGTGTGGATTTTGGACTAAGCCAAATTGGCTCCACTTCGATCGATTAAAGTAACAAAGCGATAGCCTCTTTGGACAGAAAGAAAAAAAGAAACAAAAATTCGACGGGTTGTAAATCGTTCAACCAGTTGTCGGCGGCAACTAAGTTTTGTTTGTTTCGCTCCCCAGCGAGAAAAGTTTAAACAATTGGCGATTTCGCATAGCAAAAAATACAAGAAAAGTAAAGAAAAGAACTGGAAACGAGCAGCAAACGAACCCCAAACAAACAATCATGCCAAGCGGGACCAACTGAACGCAAGTGTAGACTTCCACTTCCGGCGGCGATGCACTGCCCATCGAGGGTCACTCAACGGCGACCTTTGCTCTTTGGCAGGTCAATTGTCGCCAAACAAGTTAGTTCATGTGGGTGGACAGGATTTCGAACTCACGCTCACAGTCGAAAATAGATTTTAATTACGCCAGAACTCAAATAAATTTCATTTAAACAAATTCGGCATCTCCCGCCTTTTTTAGGCTAATCAACGTCCGGTGTCTAAACAGAGAAAAAAATTTAACATAAATGGTAATCGATTAAATTTATATTTAAATTAAACATAAAAATTTTTAGTGGTGGGAATACAATACAGTTATTTTTAGTATATTTTTAGGTTTGTTCCATATATAAATAAATTGTATAAATCTTTTTCTCTGCATGACTAATTCTGGTAAATGATCTAATCGGGCAGGGTTCAGTGCACTTGGCAATGCATCTTGTCCGTGTCTTCGGTAAGGCCCTTGACTCGAGTGCTTTTGGGCTTGACGTCTGGCAGATGTCTCTATTTGTCCATTGCCGTCATCGGCCGGTTGAACTCTGGCCAATTGCTACTGCTGAGTGGGGATGACTGCTGGTTTTGCTTGCTCAGCTTTGAACGCTAGGCGACCAGGTGTCTCTTGACCACATTGGACTCTGGCCGGCTCAAAGCGATGGAGAGCGATAAATGTTTGTTTGTAGCGGTCTCTTCTATCGTTAAGCTTTAAATGTGGTTTCCACGGAATTCGGCATCCATAAAAAACCAAAAACTGCCTGCTCATTTGCCGATCTGAAACTGGGTAAAGGGCAGCACACACATTTGGGTACAACATTTGACATTTTAATATTGATGCCTCCGTAATGACAATAAAATATTATTGTGATGTGCATTTAGCATCGTTAATATTGATATTATTGTGGCAATAAACTCAGTTTGTATGAGTAATAGCTATCCCAGTCTCATTAAAATTCTTACATTAATGCGTTAAATGATTTGTGGGCTCGTCGGTTTTTTATTGAATACCTTTCCTTTAGAGGCGCCAATACGTTTTCCGCTCTTTTTAATGTATTCCGAAATTGTCTTAACAGTTCTTGCCTTTCTTTGGACCATTTTTTTTATCCAGATGTCGCAATGGTTTGCTTCCGCATTTTACTCATTGCAATGCAAAAAAGGTGCCACATCGCCGTTGCAGCCGGCCGCAAATGAATATAAAGAGAGGAGTTCAATGCGAACAATAGAGACCGGATCACGAATGCTGTGCAGAATGCCAAGCCGCCCTAAAAACCACTTCCGCCGTTTCAGCTGCACGTAATGCTCTGATCCATTTCCCCCTTCCCGGTTTCACGGGGTCTCAAACTGCGGAATCCGGGGAATCCGGGGGTTCCGGGGATGCCAATAAACGCGACAACTGATTGGCATTCCAAATGAGACGACGCGCGTGCTGGGAGCATTGAGCCCTTTTTGGCTACGGCTCTATAAATGCCAAAATCATTTGATTTTACAAATCCCACGGAAAGTGGAAGTGTACGTATATATTAACGCACTGTTTGCGAAATGAATGGCCATTGTTAGGCGTGTCTATTTATGCGGATTTGGGATTTCATTTCAATTTTCATGTCGCTGGTCACGCACCGAGAGAATTCACAGGTCAATGGGCACAGATTACGTTTTCAAAGAGTTCGAAACCAAAAATACCTAGAGGAAATGGTTATTTTAAGGCTTAGGAAAACCATTTAGGTATTATTTATTTATTTACAGGATTATTTTTGTGAATCCATAAAGGGAATACGGTACATAATATTAACATATTTTTTAAATTTAATTCAAAACTATAGTAAGAAATAATTTATGTAATATGAATTAACTTAAGTGTATTTATAGCCCGACTTTACGCCCTGTTTTCAAAGCATTTGGAACACTGCCGTTTTAACAGCGAGTTAGGTGAGGTTTTTAATTATTTAAAATGCTAATTCGATTTTGTGCCACAATAACTGATTGTATTTTTATGTATTTGCTTAGGAAGAAGCAATAAGCCGAAACATGTTTGCGGGTCTTTTAACACCTGATCCATGTGTCGGCTATTTTTTTCTGCCCTGTTTTTATCTCGAAGAAATTAGCCTATCGACAGGGATGGAAATGTTGAATTGTTTAAAAGCACTCAAATAAACAAAGAATTCCACCTAATTAGCTTAAACGCACATAAGTTCAATTATTTCACCACGACTTTGCTGGAACTACCAAAAAATAACAAAATTTCCAGGCAAAATAAAGAGGAAATTTCCTTTTGGAATTCGCATAAAAATTAGCCAATTAAGATGAATCGAAAAACGAAAGAACTGACACTAGAAAAACAATAAAGAGTCTGAGCATTGGACACTCTTATGAAGTTGTGAAATCGCGAGTTTTTTGCTTTGTGTTTTGAGGCATCCCTCGTCGAAGGAAACATGTGTTTGCATAAAACAAGACCAATCGACATAATAAATATTTATGAAATCAATCGAGTGAGGCGAGGGGGTCGAACAGAGAAACTTGTATAATGAGATTTGCTAAAAATAAAGACTCGAATCAATTTAAAAGCCGCCGGGGCGTAAAGTCAAAATCCAGATAGTTTGATTGCCAGACAACTCGGCGACGCAAGTAGCCGACTTTGATGTTTTGTTAACTGGTTAGGCGCAGAACTCTTGGCCAACCGAAGGCAAACTTCGATCACAAGCATTATTCATAAGCGCCGTTAAAGTCCAAAAGCCAGAAAATCCAAAGCTAGCGCTTGCCAGTCAATCTGGCTAATTCAATGGACCCCCTCTCGCTCCGCTTAATTAGCCATTTCGTCAACGACACGCCCAATGGCTCTGATTATATTATATGGCAGCCCCACAAACAGCTAACAAAAAGTGACAAAGTGCAGGCAAAAAATTGTGCGACTGGCCCACAAATGGCAAAAAGTAAAATACACACATCAAATCACATTAAGCTATGTGAAACGAAAAATGGCCAGCAGAAATGGCCACTTTTCTGGCTTATGTCATCCCCAATGAGCTTCAATGGAAAGAAAATAATTGGATAAAGCTGAAAAATAATTATAACGTACCTTCTATTTACATAAGCAATCCTGATTTCCAAGCTGGTTCACACAATCGTTAAATTGTAAGAGTTTTTTCACTATTGATTTTGTTTTTATTGTTGTACTATTAATAAATAAGTTGATTAAAGTTTGTACGGTAAGTATATATTTTTGAAAAGAATTTATTTTAACCTTTGGCACAGACTTTATGTAGTGACCTGAGCTGGGCAGCAGACACAAATGCAGCAGCGAAAAATGCGAAATAGTCACGTCAAGAAAAATTTTTCTTAACTAATAGTCTTGGCCAGCAAAGCTAAACATTACACAATACCGGAACCTAACAAGCCTTTTTAATTCTGAAGTTTTAAAGGTAATAAAAGAAAAGCAAAAAATATACATACAACTTCTAGCTAAAAATGAATTCTTTGTTTTGGCATAGTATTTTGGTTTTAATATTTATACAAAAAGTGATTGAAATTAAAGCCGACTCAAACATAAAATTTTTTTTAAATAGTATGCAATGCGCGGATTGTAAAGATCTCGACCCAAATTGCAAAATTAAAGATTACGGATATTACTGTGAGGATCCCGAAGACGCAAAAGCTGTTAAAATTGATATGAATAAAACTTTCCCGTTGGATCACCTGAAAAAATGCATGCCTAAGAATCATTACTTCAACGCAGGAAGTGAGTGAGCTTCCTAGTATTCTGACATTCAGGCAACAAAAATAAATCATTTTAGGGTTAATACGCGGTTTATGTTGCTTTTGGTCACCAGAAAATGGCTGCCAAGCGGTACAGAGTAAACTTGATACTGCAGAGTGCTCCAAGTGCTTCGCGGATTCAACCAAGGGCTGCCCCTGCAATTCCAGGTCTAAAACAGTAATAAATGGTCAAGAAAACCGATGCAAGTCCTACAGCTATTTGCTTCCCATCACTGCAAGCCTTTTGGTTTTCAAAATTAACTAGCTTAGCTTATAAAGTTTTAATTTTTGTTTTAGCTGCTTTTTTTAAACCCTTTTTGGACTAAAAATATCAGTTAAAACAAAAATTAAAAGGAAAAACATAATCAATTCTTTATTATTGTTTTAATGGTCGTGGCAAGGTTACAACACCCGTGGGAAAAACGCAGTTATATTTTAAAGCCAGAGAAAGTCGACTTAAAATAAGAAAGTGAACGAAGAGAACCGTTTTAGATCTAGATTCATTAAATAAGTATTAATAGAGTGCATTCCCGTCTCGTCATAGCTAATGGGGTAAGACAATACACTGGCATTAGAAGCGTTGAAACGAACTCGCTTCTCAGACATTGCAGCCATTTCAAAGTCGTACTTTCTTGAATTTATTTAACAGACAGCTGGCAATTTAATGAAATTTATGCGACGCCGTCTCAGTCGCCGTCTGTCGAACCGAGTTGATCGATTTGCGTCGCTCAGCGCTGATTGATTTTTCAGTCTTCAATTCATTCGGAATTTAATTGCTCGTTTGCCTGAACTTGGGGCATCCACAATACACTCCCGCGAAAATTTTCGCACTTTATGCGAATATTTAAAAGGCGTATGCAAAGCAATACACAAACCAGCGAAAATCAAACAAAATCCAGAGCAGCCAGTCAGTCGGCCACTCGGCCACCAGTCAAAGGTTCAAAGTATCGATTGAAGGCAAAATGCGAACGGTGAAATGCAGTTGGCCAGACGAACAATGAATGCAAAACTGTTCAGCGCTCTCCGCCATTGACAATGGCATTGACGCAACAGAATCTGTGTCGTTTTATTTTCGTTGCATTTTTTAGTGCATAACGGAAATGCCGTTCTTTCAATACATCTGCACCGCCAGGTGCCACAGTAGTGCCTCGATAGGTTTGATAAATTAATTTATAAGTAGTTTAAGAGCTATTCTATCATTCAGAGGTTTAAAACTGTAAAATTGGTCATGGTAAGTCCTCTGCCAAACAGTCATCGTTGTAAAAACCATTAAAAAGTCAGAAAAATCGGACACCTGCAGGGGTAAATAAGTCGAGTCTCTTTAAATCAAAAAATTTTAACACAGTTCGTTCAGTTCGTTCTATCAGAAACGTTTAGAGGGTTAGAGGTATGTCACTTTAAAATCGGAGTAAAATTTGTTGAGTTATGGCTTTTGAAGAGATAATATTGGGTTACTATTCTAAAACCCATCAGAAATTAAGAAAAATCTGACACTTGCAGGGGTCAAACCTTCCCTCTCTAAAATTAATATTTTAACGCAGTACGCTTAGGAATTCCATAACAAACGCTTAGAGGTATCCCACTTTAAAATCTGATCAGAATTAACTAAGCTATGTGAACTAAAATAATTCATAATTAGCAAAAATAGATATTATTTTAGCTGACATATTAAGAGACTACTGTAACTTAAAATTTTCTCTGCGTTCACGTGCTTTCCGAATGATTTCGTAATAGCGCTTTAACGTACGCATAGCTATCGAGAGCGACCAAAGTTTAAAGTGTACAGTGCAAATCAGATAATGTGTAAATCAGAGAACGTGGATTCCGGAAACTCTTGGTGCGAATTGAGTCCAATTGAAATGCGGGCATGTAGAGTAATCGTCGGCCATGTGGCTGCAGCTAAGGTGAGGGATAAGTCGGCTTCCTGTTTCTCAAACTTCGCCATTTATAATTAACAATTTACCTAATCCCGCAGCCAGTGCGGAAACCTTTTAAAATTGCTTTCTCAGCCGGTTAAATATCTACGAAAAAGTTTTTCAATGCCAAGCCGTTTCTCATCCTCTTTTTTGCCTCGAAATTTCGCTCATCAAAAGGGCTTGGGCTTTGTAGAGTGCCTTTAAAACTGCGCATTCGAAATTGACGTCAGAGCCCTAAGCCTTATCCTTCAAGTCGGTTTCCCCGTTCCCACTCTTAACAATTTCAATTAATATCAAAAATCATTCAACCCAGTCCGGCAACTTTGTTGTCGCTAAAAATGCACTAGCCGGAATCACCATTGAAAACTCAACAGTTTCCCACAGTTTCGCACTGTTTTGAACACAGTTTTGTTCTATTTACCAATCTGAAATGGAAAATCTGAATGGTGAAAACCTTTTGTGCGTTTCAACGCAATGCCAGAAACTTTAATTGCACAGTGTCACGAGTTTTTCCGTCCCCGCTTCCGCGCCACTTTGTCCTTGAGGAGGCGGGTTAATTATGCCAAAATATTTTGTCAGCTTCACGTGGCAGGGGAATTTGCTGCTGTCAAAAGGACATCACTGGCTTTGTAGCTCTGCCTGTGAAATCAGAACTTCCCTCGGCTGCCAGCGCTGTCCTTGATCCTACCGCCTCTCAGCTGTCGAGCTCTCATCCTGACGTATACATAATGTTGGCGACTGACGGTCGGCGGATTGCGTATACGCCATGTGGGTCAATGAATTAATGCCGCCTGGGCCGTAAAACTAATTTTTCTCTCTTTTATTCGTTTATTTGCTTTTATGTGCTGTTTTTGTTAGGCTTTTCAGTTGTTAAACTGCAATGACGTAGACATAGATTTGATAAGAGTGTTTTATAGCAGTAGGAAACTTCTTACCATGTAACAATATGCAAAACCGTAATGTTTACTTTATTGGTTTATTAAAATAAAAATATATGCAAATATAAAAATATTCAGGGCATAAACCACATAAACTTGACTCTAGAATAAATACCATCATGATTTATAAATAAACAAATTCCAGGAAATTCCTACTTTATCAATTATTGTCGCATATTTAACTTAGTATATTGATTTCGCTGAAAGGAAATTCCCTAAGATAAGATACTAAGTTAGCCGACATTGTCAGTTATAGAAAAGTAGATACAAATATAGCTTTTCAACAATTTCAACATCTGCTGAGTAATTTTTCCTATTTGTCAGCCACTTTCTCCGAGTAACACATTTCTGATTTAATTTAGTTTATTGTGTGCAATGTGCCGGGGGATTCCCCTGCCAGCTGCTAAAAGGCTTTGCATGTTCCACTTTCAAGTTGGGTAGAAAGGCAAGGGGATGACAAAGAATATAAAGTAAAATAAGTTCCCTCTCATTACACATTCGCGGCAGCAAAACGTTTGCTCTGCGGCCCACCCATTTGAATTAAATGGTACTCATTGCACTTGCTCATTAGAAAATATTTGCACATATAATTACTTGCGCTTCACCGCCGCCCCAGTCGCCCGATATCTTCCCATGGAAGCGGGCATTATGCAAGCTCACAGCTCGACTCACGCGATGTGTGGCTCGAATCAACGCAACGCGTCGCAGATTGCATTTCAAAGGCATTTTAATTGCACGTGAGTGAAAGGAGGGAGAGCGGAGAATGTCAAGGCGTTGGGAAAGTTCTATGATGCAACGGGAGTGAAAGTCGGAGGCAATGGAACTCTCAGAGCTCCCAAAGCGTTCGTTCACCTAAGCCTCGACAGTCTGGAGATTTGCTCAGTTTGATTTGATTATAACAGCAGCTGGCGGCTTCTTTGCGGCTCCATTTTTGGATAAGTGCACAGAAAGAAATATCTCAAATACTTAATGATAACTGTATTCAAATAACTATTAAACTAAAAAATAAGCATTCATCTGAATAATAAATTCATGTTAATAAATACAGTTAAAAGAAAACATTTTATAAATTTATAACAAAAAGGTTTTTCATTGTGTACATATCGTGCACGAGCATCGCGTAATATCCCCAGCTATCTTCACCCCCCGGAACTTTGAGTTCGCGCTGGCGATTTATTTGTTCTGTCGATTATGGCAGCGAATTCGTGCAAAAAAGATAAATGGAATTGTCAAAATTGTTGTGATTGCCTCATTGTCATGTTACTGTCAGCACTGTATTCAACTCCTTAAAAAGAGTACAGTAACATGCTGCAATTAATTAAGAGTTGAGGCTGCTGTAAGTTATTCATGCTGAAATGCAGCAGTGGGAAAAACAGGTTGGTTTCCTCAAGCAAAAGCAATTTCCGGTCCTGATGGAAATGTTTTTCTAAGCTGCTTGGCATACATTTAAAGATAGCATATAAATCGATAATTTTACTAGACTAAAAGTTGAAACTTTTACAAAGTATTAAGTACCCATAAAATATAAGTTACACCGGATTAGATCTTATATTATTAATTTAATAATTTGTACACCACACCCACTGCACTCTGAGCATTCAGTCTTGAAATACTTCTGAACTGCCAGACAGCGAGTGGGCAAAAGAATAAGAACAGAGGAAGAGGAGCCCCTGGCCAAGCAATTTGTGTCGTTTTTGCCGTCTCATTTGGCACACGGCCAGTCCATTCGGCCAAAATGCAATCGAGTGCATGCCCGTCTGCCGGCCAGCGATTCCAAGTGACTCCGCACTTCCGTTCCCCTCCCAACTATAAATTACATTCCATTAAAAAATCATGCCGCGGCGCACAAATCAACATCAACTCAATGAGCATAAATTGCCAAGACGAACTGCTGGAGCTCCGGAGGGCTGGGAAAATCCGGGCGGGAGGACAATGGCAGGGCGGCGCTAACGGATCGATCGGCCTTCACATTGGCCGCCATGACGACGACTGCGACGGCAACAACGCACATGGCCGAAATGCACACGAACGCGGCCAAAAAAGGGAGGGATAAAGAAGTGACAGGACTTTGCACTGACCAGCCATGTGTGCTACAGTGGGTCAAAACGTTTTTAGAAAATAAAAAACAGGTAACAAAAATGTGAAAATATATATTCGCTAGAGAACTTAATTGGAAATTATTGGTTCAAAAGTTTGAAATGGCTTCATGTGATGCATACTTTAAAAACTATAATAATGAAAATAAAATGTTGAGCTTGTAACATTTTTTTGTTTTCCATTTCTCATAACTGACGCTTATAGATCTGATAACTGAATTTATTCTGATCCACCGTGCGACGTGCGAAATGCATTTGGGAGTAGTCTAGCGTGGATTCCGGTGCCTTCGAGGTTCCCTTTGATGGCTAATGGGTTGTCCAGTCGATCCAGAGCTCGTTTTGAGCTATTTTTGCCGTGCTGGCGATGGTGTCACGCATTTGGTTTGTTATTGGGCCCCCGAGTGATGTTTGCAGCTAATTAGAAACGGCCCACACTCACAAACCAGCACCGCACACTCATTTGACCAGGGAAAGCAATCTGCAATTACAGTCGGCTGGGCACCGCCCCTTCTGAAGAGCAAGGAGGTCGGCGGATGTCTCAGGACATGTGCCAAATGACTGCCAATCGATTCGGCATTCGGAGCGGGCATGTAATTAATGGAGCGTGGCTTAAATTATGCAAAGCTCAATCAACTGCTTTTCGCAGTCCTCGAATCCGACCACATTCCCCAGATCTCTGGTCCACATCTCACGGCGTGTCAATTTCCGCCCGACACGTTGTGTGCGACGACTTGCCAACACCCACATTCACATCCACATCCACATCCAGGTCCACTTCCTACTCGGCGCCACATGACGTGCCGTTGATATTTATGTCGTCGCCATTGTCGTCTCAGTTCTCGCAGCCCCGTTTGCCAGTCTCCGTCGCCAGGACTCAGGATACAGGACGCAGGACTCGGTTCTCCGTTAAGCGTAATCAGCAACGTGCCAGGGAAAGGTAAAATCACAATTGCACCGCAGGAAGCCGAAGGATACAATGAATGTTCAATGCACTGAAAGGAATACAGATAACAGACTATTGACATCAATAACAAGAGTTTTCTATAAGTTCTTTGTTGATTTTTCCAATTAAAATATTTCACACTTTTACCTAATCAGTGATTTTAAGTGATTTTTGAAGAACTTAGGCTCTAAAAATTAATAATATCGAACTATAGTTTAGTCATAAATCAAAAGCAAATTTCCTTTAGTGCACAATGGGAACGAGGGTCCGATGGTGGCAAAAGCTGGGTTGAAACCAGTTCAGAAACGTTGCACGACGAGATTCTGCCGGCAACGTGATGGTGTTTACATCCTATGCAAATACAATTAATTCCACTTTTGTGGACAATCTTTGTGCCAGCAGGTCGGTGGGGGCGAGTGTGACATAGGAAATGTTGACACTGCCACGGGCATTGTGGATCAGGATGCCAAATGCCAGCACCCTTTGTGAGTTCCCCCAACCGGTGCGTGGGGGTACTGGGGCACTTTGCCATCAAAGTTTTAGAGCAACTGCCCCCAGCAATAACTTGAGCATTGCGAATTTCCTTATTCTATCAAAGACAACCAATGACGCAATGTTGTAAACAATTCGTTGATCTCTGTGCTATAAATCAGCCGTTTCTATGTTTTGGTGAAAGAAATTGTGATTTAATAGACCATAACCAAGCAATTATTTTGACACTGAAAAAAAAAACAAGAGAGCTCAAAAAGGTTACGACTTAAATTCGAAAGACTTATATAACTACGAAAAAATCTTTTATTTGACCCTTATTTTTAAATAAGTACAAATTTAGTCTACGAACTTTTTAGAATTTAAAAAAAGAAAGTGTTTTTTTAATAGTCGGGTACATTCCCCTTTACCATGATGGAAAAAAACCCCGTGTCATCTTGTCGGCGGGTCTCTTCGTCTGCGCCGTTGCGCATTTGATTTGGGTGCGATTAAGCGAACTTTGCACTTTTGAATAACACAAAATCAATTGGAAATGGATCACGGTGCAGATTACACCACTTATTGCACGCCGTGTTTACATTTGCATTCGCAATGGGGTAAATTGTAAATTAAAATGAAACCAAGCACCCTAAAAGCAAAATAACGATGAGTTTGGGGGAGATTCGGCGAACAATTTAAGAATTATAATAAAGCTATTAATAATTTATTAACAAAAAATAGGTATTCATTTGTTTAAGATTGAAAGCGGTTTTCTACATTGATTTGCCTTGTATTTTTAAAAGGAGATCAAAATAATTACTTTGTTTTATGAAGCTTTTGCAAAGATAGCTTACACTCATTGTTCAGTACTTTTCAAACTGTAACTTACCCTTGAGCATTGCAAAGGTTTTTAGCTAAATGCCATGAAAATGAAACAAATGGATGTTCTTTTGCTCTTTAGGTTTTTATTGAAAGATGTTATTTCAACACCATATTTTTAAGCTGATGTTAATTTTTTTGTTGTTTTTTATTTCTTGTATATTGGTTAAACAGCTTGTTGTTGTCTGCTGTTTGTGGTGGTGACTTTTCAGTTTTGTTTGACAATAAACTATTTTAAGCTTAATCCTTGCGGTTAGTATTATATATCCTTCGTTTGTGTGTTATATTTTCACATTGCACTTCAAACAAATATGTAATTAACAACGATATGCAGAATTTGCAACTTGAATAACGTATAAAATTAAACATTCTTGATAAATATGTGTGTTAGTCATCGGTACAGTATTTCAGTGTGTAAATATGTACTGTGATAATGACCTTTGCCCTTGTTACGCCCCCAAAGATGGAGTCGAGAGGCTATAGTAACAAGCCCTGTGCCCCTGCACAGATAGGCAGCCAATGGACGCTGGAGTACAGCTCAAAATATTTCTTGTTAGTTTTTCGTAACAACATTTTGTTTTACAACAGTGTATATATATTCATATATATGGTTAATAGAGTTGTTTTGGGGTTTTTCGGGGTTTATTTTATTGTGTTTTGTTTATTTGCGTCATTTGTTTCACTTATACTTATCGATCATAAATATAAAGTTTAATAATAATAATAATGATAAAACATCGCTTTTCATAAAGGATTTTTATAAAACATTAAAAAATGTAAAAGAACGTTGTGCGATTTCAATGTTTCAAGATTTTGACATTTTGATGTTGGGATAGTGGTTGGTCTTGTTTTCACTATAAAATGTGTTTTTTGCTTAACGATTTACGACATATTTGGCTTGTTCACATTGAAATCTTTCATAATCATAGTAATAATAAAATAGAAATTGCATAACTTCAACAATAATAGGTTCATGCGCTTAAAACTAAAGATAAAATTGCTTCTCCATCGAACATAATCCTTCCTTTTTTCTGTACTCATCATTTAGTTGCTTTCTAACATATATATCATAATTAATTCTCAAAAATGTGACGTACTACATATATAACATTTTCAGAAATTGTAATTATTTTTTTTTTTTAGATTTTTTAATGCTTGCTTTTCTTAGTTTGAGAAACTAAGTTAAAAATAAACAAAGTTGCCGAACGAGTCCAGCAATCTGCTTCGTAGTTTGTTTTACATAGTTGCGAGTAGACAAAGTCGGTCCATACGCCTTAGTAGGCGTGGTTGGCAACGAACAGGGATCCGGATCCGGCTCCAGCGCTTCCGGCAACGTACTTGCCCTGAGCAGCATCGCCGTTGGCCTGGGAAGGAAAATGGGTGAAAAATTGTTAATTTCATTCGGCAATTTGTTCTGGAAAATAGTAGTCCTAATTACAAACACGTGGTCTTAATTATTACTTATTTATAACTTAGCGGGCGCAGCAGAAAACTTTTTTGGCCAGCTTCAAAAGTTTTCGCACTGATTTTTGCTGCTCACGAAAAACTTTTTCCAGCCACCTGCGGCAATTTTGTTCGAACTTTTTACGCATCCAAGCGTTGAACTAAATGCTACGGTACAGCGGAAAAGTTTCGGATAATTTAATTCCGCAACTTCTTTGGGAGAAAAATGTTGATTCGATAACATTTTGTAGCGCGAATAGCGGAAAGGGATGGTCCGAAATCGTCAGCACTTTTCAGTGGCCGGTAGTTCTTGTTTTTCAAATAATTTTAACTTAACTGTCAGCTGCAGAAGTTTCAAACTTAAACTTTTTTCATAATAAGTACTTGGTACTTTACAACGTATTATAATTATTCATACCAAAAATAACTAAATAGTAGACTAAATGTAAAGCTATTTTAAACTAATTAATGTATACATAAATCAAAAACGGAGATTTCAAATAAGGTATCAAAATTAATTTATTTATGGTAACAAAATGTCGAAATCCAAAAGTATTGATAAATATCTAGTCAGTTGTAAAAGTATAGGATAGGCTAAAAGGAATATGTTTGCAGATCCTCGGTTGGAGGAATGTAAGTGCTGCCATTCTTAGTCCGGCTTGGGCCTTAATCAGTATCTTTTGCGTTAGCAGCTGGCTTTGCTTCGGCGTGGATATAGCATCGCTAGATTCTGACTCGGATTAGTGCGTGGCTTAGTATTTGTGCTGGGCAACAAAGAGGCTGGCATTGGCGGCAAACGACGGAATTGAGCCGGCCACGTATTTACCCTGGCAAGCCTGGGAATTGGCCTGTAGATGCGGGAAGGAGAGCGGGATTGCGGTTGGGATTAATCGAATTTTGGGTTTTTGAGATTAGGTGAAGAGCAAGCGAAGCGTAGAAGAAATGAGCGAGTGATGTGAAAGCAATAGTGATAGTCGGCTTGAGGCTTGTTTTTAGTTTACCCCACTTAAGCTTCATTGATTATCCGATTTCAGTACTTGTGATCATCCACATGCAAAGTATCTTCACCAGCGAACCCTTCCACAGATCCTGCTTCATAAATACCACAAGCCGCTAAACCATTAGCCTAAGCATGGATAGTACGTGGTTATTTGAATGGAAATTGGTTATAAGATTAAAAAATGAAGCATAAAAAATAATAAATGATAAAAAGATTGTTATATATACCTATAGGCGGAATTACGATAGGGTGTTAATGAATTGCACCTCGTAAAAGATTAGTATTAAAGTTCAATGGAAAAGAATGAACAGTAGATAAGGATTTATTAATGGTATTGATAGATGGATTAGATTAGCAGAAAATTTTCTAGGAGGAACATTTTGGGATTAAATATTGGTTATGGGATGTGGATAGGATTGCAGTTTATACAGGCGTAACAATATTTCTTTAACTTTAATATAACGCTATTCCGAAGCAGAACACCAGCATTTACAGTTCTTTCACCTATTAATCTAAGAACTATTCCCGATTTAAGCTATAATTTACTATTCCAAGACTCACCTTAGCGCGCTTGAGCAGCTCGTTCTGGCCGGCGGCGATGTTCTCCTTCTTTCCAGCCCAGGCGCGCAGGACGGAAGCCTGGAGAGCGCGGCCGTAGGAGAAGGTGAGAGCCCATGGGCGGATGAGGGGCACTTTGTTGATGGCGCTCAGGTTGACGGTGGCCTCCTCCTCGGACTGACCTCCAGACAGGAAGGTCACACCTGCAGAAGAAAGTTGTTTTAATAGGATTCAAAAGGAAGTTGATGTGGGAAACTCAATTCCGTTTCGAAGAAGGTGTTAAAGAAAGGTGTCAAAAGATTGTTATTGCAAGGTACTTTCTGGATCTGTGAGATCACTGTGACACCTGTTCTTCAACCCAAACCGAAACCAGGACTCACCGGTGACGGCGGCGGGGACAGTGCGGCGCAGAGCCTGCACGGTGGCGAGGGCGATCTCCTCGGGGGTGTTCTTCTTGGCCGACTGACCGGCGGTGACCATGTTGGGCTTCAGCAGAGTACCCTCCAGGTAGACGTGGTGGTCGCTCAGGGCCTTGTAGACGGCGGCCAGGACGGTCTCGGTGACCTTCTGGGCGCGGTCCAGATCGTGATCGCCATCGGGCAGCACCTCGGGCTCCACAATGGGGACGATGCGCTGCGACTGGCAGATGGAGGCGTAGCGGGCCAGAACGTTGGCGTTCTCCAGGATCGACTGGTAGGACGGGGTGTTCTTGCCGATCTTCAGGACGCAACGCCACTTGGCGAAGTCGCAGCCGTCCTTCTTGTACTGGGCGCAACGGGCGGCCAGATCATCCAGACCCTGGGTGGTGACCTCGTCCTCGGATCCGAACAGTGGGACCACACCCTTGTCGACCTTGATGCCCAGGATGATGCCCTTCTTCTTCAGGATGTCGGCGAAGGGGGTGCCATCGTCGGCCTTCTGGTAGAGGGTCTCGTGGAACAGGATCACGCCAGAGATGTTCTCGGCCAGCTTGGGGTCAGTGCTGAACAGCAGCTGACGGTAGGCACGGCGGTTGTCCTCGGTGTTCTCCACGCCGATGTCCTGCAGACGCTTGCCCATGGTGGGGCCAGACTCGTCGGCGGCGAGGATTCCCTTTCCGGGGGCCACGATCCTCTGGGCGATGTCCCTGAGCTCATCCTGCAGCTCCTTGCTGGGGTAGTTGAAGTAGGTGGTCATTTTTGAGATTCGAGTGTAGTTCTGCATCACGCGAATCCATTTTCCAATCGAATTTGGTCCAGTCACCGAAGGCAGTTGATGTAGATTGGCGGAAGGTGGATTTTTGGTGAAAGAATAAGAAAAGCGGAAATTGCATGTTAGTAATTTTGTTACCGCTTTCGGCAACGGCTTAGAGAGTAGTAAGCCATTGCTTAGGGAAAAAATTTTGAAAGATATAAAGGTCCAAAAAAAGAAAAACTAAAAATTTTGAAAGGTTTTGGGAAAGACTTCTAGACAATGTGATGAAGAAAACTAGACTAATAACTCCAGTGTAAATTATTCAACATAATGTCTCGAAGAAACCTGCTTCTGCAAACAACTATCAATCAATCAAAAAATCAACGGATTATTTTCTACTTTGACCCATTTTTTTTATTATTATTATTATTATTATAAATGTTTGTTATTAATTGATTTGTTGTCAATAATTTATTAACTATTTTTCAATTAAGTAAATAATCGTGTATGAACTTGTTTCATAAAAGTGCGGCAATATATCACCATATTTTCAGTGTCAGGTCAATGACAAAGATATTGTTGCTAATTTTCAAATATTTTTCCATTGTAGATAGGTCATTTTGATAATCTTTGTATTTTTCACAGCTGATTCGATAGCGAAGAGCGAGTAATTCAGCAAGGTGAACAGCGCATGCACGGAGAACGTGCTTTCCTTTTATTTTCTCTACATCAGTTACTCATTCTCTCTTTCTCTCATAATTTAGCGTACACACAAAAGGTTCACTTTTTTATAGGCTTTTTTTATATCTTCTAACAGTTATCAGTGAAAATATATTATTTTATAAGGGGAAATCCTTTTGGATATTATTGCACAATCTGATTCACTATTAATTAAAAATTTATTGTTTGTTACTCTAATTATTTTCAAAAACCGAAAGACTGATTGAACTTCAGAGCACTCAATATAAAAACGAACCAACCTCGACGATGAATTTTTAGTAACTGAGCAAAGTCACGGAAACCTCGGAAATAATTCCCTGTGATGTAATCAAAGTCATGGAGTCTTCCCTCTCCCTCTTCTGGCCTATGTCCCTCTCTTTCCCACCCACATAATGCGTGACGTGGAAACTTTCACTTTTATTATCGCCGTTGCCGCTCTGCCTCTTCCGCTGCTTTCGAAGGCAGCGACGTCAACGCAGGGCGCATGAATTTCAGCTTGACATTGAACAAGGTCAGGCAACAATGTTGCATTGGCTTTGGCAACAAATGTTGCCAGCGAAATTGTTGCTTACGAAATGTGAATAGAAATTGTTGAAAACCGAAAGTCGTGTGGCGCGTGTGATGAGTGATAAAGATGACTATATCCAGTGCGAAAGAGAGGGAATATCCTCTAGCAATATATAGATACAGATACGAAATATTCTGGGATGACTAAAACTCAGTTTTTACTTGTTTGACATTGACAGTTAGCCAAGGACTGGAATGGCATAAATATCAAGCTATAGATTATAGCACCTCAACTTATCACAAACGAATGTTTACCGCGTGCGCTATAGTTCCCACGCCTTATATATGTGACACCTATACACTGAGAATAATTTTTGAGAACTGTAGGAATTTTAGGAAATGAAAATAATAATTCAAATCCAAATTTTAAGTATTTTTTTTAACTATTTAACAAAATGTTTTGTATCTAAAATAATACAAAGATAGACGAAATTCGCTGATGTCTTTTATACACACAGTGTTATCTTTGGTAAAAGTTATCTATAGGTTATATGGATTCACTTCGCACGGAACACCCACCTACACTTGCCGGCAATCAATCGAAGACTGAAAAGTTTCGGAAACTAAGTGAAATATATACGATGTACGAAAGGAAAGAGCTACAAAAAGTAAAACAGACAACGCATGACAACAAAAAACAATCAAAATAAATTTACGTTGCTATCAAGAAGCCGTGTATAAAAATAAAACCGACACATGTCCCTCTATAAGTATGTGTGTGGTAGTAGAAAAAACAAGCTGATAAAAAACAACCAACAAAATCTAGAGGCAAAAAGCGCCATGGAATATTGTAGAACTTGCTCCGGAAAGATGAACAAACAAGTTCGTTATGTGGCTGCTTTTTGTGTCATGTATGGCATGTTATCGGTGGAAATTTTGAATCGAAAACGAGCCCCCACTGCCGGTTCCAAAGGTCTTGCACTATCATTATCATAACGAGATTTTAGGTCCGGCCTCCTCGACCACAGACAGTGGGTCAAAAGAACATCTACCAGGGAAGATAACACTACTTCTCATGTAGTTACTATGAACTGACGTCAAAGGCTTAACAGTAATCATGGGTTGCACAAACAAACCGCAAATGTATTAACAACAATTTTTGAAGGCTGGGAACTTTGAATTAACCACGTACGCCTCTATTCCTATCAGCTTGCCCTTTCTATGTGACCCCAATTAATTTCCTTTGGTAGTTGTTTACTAGCTGATCAATAAATACAATTTTTGAGATAGTTCTTTATCTATTTCTAAGCGATAATAGCCTGACAATTTTTTGTATCAATAATTTAACCGTTAACGACACTACTATAAGTTAGTATGGAAGCCCACGCAAAAAAACTTTATCATCATTATTAAAATTTGTCCAGATTATTTATACCTGATTTTTTTCGAACTTTGTTATTTATATCACAAACAGGTTCCTCCTGTTGACCTTCAAAGAAGACCTTGTCCCTCCACAACTTGCTTTCATATTCAATATACAAAACAACCCTTAAACTTGTTTCTCTCTTTTCTCAGTTTTTCGCTCTATGTGTAATCCTCAATAGTTTATTGTGCTACGCCTCGCATTCATTCAGCAAAAGGGAAATTAAAATAGAATTAAAATAGAAAGGTCTAATGATCGATAAAGTAAAGCGGAATAGATAGAGATATAGAAGCTGTCAACAAACCGGGGAAATTACGATGACGTTGGCTAATTGAAATCTAATGAATGTGTGTGAGAAAGATACAAAAATGTATGTATTCCCCGATGTACATGCATTTAACATTTGCGCCAACTATTTTTAAAGGAAAACCTCAGAGGCGGCTACAAATTGCAGTTGAAACTTTGCCAATAAGCAAATGAACTCAATCGAAAGAGAGAATTGGGGGGAAAGAGATAAAAGTAGAGAGAGCCGGTTGAGCCGGTAGAGAAAACTACTTTCGAGAGCCAAAAGTCACCCGATAAGGTTTCTTATCGCCTGCAGTTCCCCAACTCTTTTCCCCAATTTAGGTGCATAGGTCAACAACACTTGGGAAACTCAAGGTTCTAGAACTTGTCATACGAATTTTGAACACGAGGAAGTGGGTGAGAAAAAATTCGGAGTCCATTTGAAATGCGCACTCACTCACACGCTTACAGATTCTGTGAGATTCTGTAAATTTGGATTACGAAACAGCCGAGAAAAATGGGAACGATTACGCGACTTTTCCACTGCACTGGGGACTTTCTGAGTTTCAGCGGCTATATAACTGAATTTTTCGGTTTTATTTATCACTTTATCACGCCCACTCACCGAACTGGAAACTGAATCTGGGAAGTGGTGACTGGCTGGGTCCGCTGCTGCTGCTGCACTGGAGGAGAGCGGTTAACGCTTTTATTTTCTGACTTCTGGCTCTGCTCTGCCGCTGCTACCGCCTCTGCCGCTGCCTCTGCTCCCGCTGACGGCGACGGCGACGTCAACGTGAAATTCCAAAGCGAAACAGGCGAGACATGGCGAGCGAGACCCCAAAAGGTTGTTTAGAGGTCGTCGCCGCCCGTGTTGGGCAACCGACTGATCCAAGCGCTAAAAATTCCCAGACCCCAAAGCGTTCGGCCTCCAATTTAAAGCTCCAACAGGAAGCTTTTAGTGGGTGAAACAACCTATATACGAGATTCAAAAACAAGATAAAACTTTGGGAACAGCTTTGTACTGCTTGAGTTTTGGCGGTTTGAATTTAAATTAATTTGAATTTTTACTCACTCTAAGAGCCAATAAGTATCTAAAAGCATCCTAAAATTTTATTTCAAAGATGTATGATTTTGTATGAGTAAAACCAAATTATACTATTAAGTGATTAATGTGATATTTATAAATTCTGATTTCTTTTAAACAAAAACTTAAAATTATGATGGATTCATAGATAAAAAAAAAACAGGATTTTAAATTTCTTTGGTTGAAGTAATCGCTGAAAAGCTTGAAGGAAAAAAATTATATATTTTCCATCTTGTGGTATGTTTATTTTAAAACAACCTGCCAACAGCACATCTCCACATTCTTACTGAACACTCTCTTTTAATTGTTAAAAATGAAAAAGAATAATTAATTTGGTGTATTTTTCCCTTAATTACTAGCGACCTGCTTTACTTGGAGCGGTCAATGAATTTTTCGTGACCATCAGCATCAGGCGTCCCAAAAGCAGCGCAACAAAAACGAGGGGTGGCAGTAGCAGCAGCTAGGATAAGCGACTTTCACGCCATGCCTGACCTCCTGCAATGTTAAAGGACTCAACCCCCTGGCACTCGAAACAGCTGATTGAGAGGGTAATTTTAGAGAGAATTTCCCTTTATTTGCCACGCGAGAGTTTGAGTGAGTGAGAAAGCAGTTCTCTTCGGAAGGACATGTTTTGAATAAACTAAGCACTTGGCACACTTTTCTGAATAAAAAGGATGAAGGAAAATGGAGAGCTTTTCTTAAATACTGTTAAGGAAATAACATAAAGCTAATGTGTTATACTATATTAAAATACAATTATAGAAAATATTACAAATAGTAAATTAATAATCAAAGGAACTCTTACCTAATGCTCCAATCTGTAGCCGCCATGCTCTCTTTTGGACTTGCTCTCTGCACCTCGTGTCTTCGTCCTTATTCGGATTTTAAGCCTGCCTCACTCGCTTCCCCATTTCGCTCGAGGATTCTGGTTCAGTTTTCAGTTCGAAATCGTGCGTCGGCCGGTCGAGTTGTGTGCCAAACGCTCGGCACCTGTCGCCTCACACGTGTTGCGTTCCAATTTTCAGTGCGCGTCTCCTTCGCACACCCGCGTACACCGCGGCGTATACGTTACGTTACGTATTGCAGTGCAATAACCGGAATATCTGATTGTAATTATGTGAGATAAGAGTGGAGTGCCCAAGAGCCAAGATTCCAAGCACAAACAGTGATTGTCTCAGCTTAATATTTTGAGAAAGCATAAAAACGGAAAGATAACGTGTAGCTCCTAAGTATGTTAATTAGTTTTAAAAGTTTTGGTAAGAAACTTAATATGCTCACAGATAAACAATTCGATTCGTACCAATAAATTGTTAAAAAAAATTATGATCGAAAAGGAATCATCAAAAAAGTTAATCTCAGAGCATTTGTTAAAGCTTAACTAGGAATATTAATAAATTTAAAAACAAAATGTGTATTTAAGCAACAACTTATTAAAAAAGCAACATTTTTTAAATATTTTAAATTAAATATAAAAACTCTTTGTCGCTATGTTCATAAAATGCAGTAATTTTTTCCTTTGCATTTAAGTTCTTGTGGATTAGTATTATTTGCTAGCTTAAATTTGGCTTCCCCCTTCTTTGTATAAAAAGTACCCGAAAAACTGTGTGCAGCAGAGAATGCAAAATAGTTTCCCCGAGTTTTGCTGAGTATTCAGTGTACATACGACTATGGGTTTCATATGCAGATTTCTGCCCGCCACAGTCATAATATTGAGCAATTGATGAGAGCGCGTTTAGCCTGGCTTTGTGGCATTTGGCTCATTAATATGCGGCAGGCGACACAAAACACACCCTCTTTCTGTCCCTCCCCACCACATACAGCCACACACTTAGACAATCCTCCCCGTCTGTAGATTTGTGTCTGTGTTTTGTCTTGTCCTCATCTGCATTTGCCCGAAATGAGGATGAGAATGAGTATCCTATAACCGACTGAGCAGCATCCTGGATGCTGATGATAATGTTGATTCCTGCCTTCCGCAACAATTTGCTTTGAACTTTATCTGACCCCCCTTTTACCACGCCCCTGGAGCTATCCCTGAACCCAAAATGTAGCCCAAACTCCGGCTCACATTTCTCCAGCTTTTGTTGTGGCATTTATAAATGCTTGTTACCTTTTCCTCGTCTCATTTTTAGCCTCAGCCAGGACAAAGTGTTTATGGTCTCTGGCAGTTTAAGTTTTGTGGCTTGAAACAGGAATCTGTGCTGTTCCTAGAAGAGTGCAATTAAATTGGGAATGTCATTGCTATGATGAATTTTCAGATTGGAAAGCAGATTACAGGCAAAAATCAATTTATATTCGATCTTTGAATTGGGAAAGTTTAAGGAACAATCGTATTGTAATTGCATAGTTGCAGCTCATTTTTTGGACATCTGTTGGGCGATTCGATTGCTTATTACTTGTGGAATGTCTTAACATATGTCGATTTGTTTTGGGTCAGAACTTTTTCGGAGCTTCATTTAATTCTTACGCCTGCAATTGACCTTAACTGGAGCATAAATTATGCATACAAAAAAAAGGAAAATAAAAACAATAAATGGAAGGCCCGAAAGCGAAAGCGAAGGTCGAGGCAAATCAAACAAATGGCAAGAAACATGAAAATGTTGTAAAATAATTTCAATTCATTCTAAGGCCATTTCGCATGCCTCTGGGTTGGTTGTCATTCCGTTGGTATTTGTGCGGTTTGTTGTTTCCCATTTTCCGGCCCTCGAAAAAAACCCATTGAATTTTTGTGTTCAGTTTCGCTTGTTTGCGAACAAACCAAAATGAGAGGAGTATGAGAACAACACATTTCACCATAGCACACATAGAACGTCCTTGTTAAAGTTTGATTTGCTTTCTTTTGTATTTATAATATTATTTTATTCTAACATATGAGCCCCATTTCGCCTCGAAGCGTCCATTCCATTAATTTATGCAAATAAACATGATGAAAAGTTTCCGTTTGTGTACGTTTTGAAAGGTATTCGAATGTTTTTCGCTGTTATGGAAAAGTGTTTAAAAGTGTTTAATATTGCTATTCGTGGCAAATTAAAATTTAGGTTAATGACTTGGCATAGAATAGCATGTTGGGTTCGCACTAAGAGTGATAATTAGACATCTCATTATAGCGAAAACATATTCTAACCTTTCGTTCCAACATTAGCAAAACACAAATTGATTTCATGAATTCAAATTTAGATTTGAGCTCTGAATATTAAAAAAGCACTACCATGCTGTGGGTTAATATTCTTCTAGGAATTAATTTCAAGCTTTCCCTCTGCTTTGGGGCTTTGTCTGGTCATGTGATCAGCTGCTATTACCGAGTCCTCTAATGACACGTTTTATTATCCTTGTTAAATTGAATAAGCATAAAGTAGAAGTAATTTCAGTATGGCCTCGAGCGACTTGAGCATTATAGGGGAAGCCTTATCACACCGGGAGGGGCATTCCTGACGAGCTTACAAATCCCTTCCTCCCAAAACTCGTAGTCCTCGAAGAACGGAAAATATTTTCAAGGGGTGGTGGGTGCTCTTCGCATCGACTGCTTGCTACAATTCGCTAGTGAATGGAATTTGGAGCTGAATGGAGGGGGAGTTGGGGGGTTTGATTATAAATAACGTAAAGTAAGCGCACATGAATGCATTTTGATTGTCTGCTGTAGTTTACGGCACGTTTCCTTTATTTTTTGCCGCTGCTGCTTCTGGAGTTGTGAGGAAAATGGAAATGAGAGACGACAAACTCGCCGTGCAATATCTGGAGGCGTAGGGGCGTGGCAACTTCCTTAAATGGTGCACTAATGTAGAAAAGAAAAGCATTTTTATATTTATTTGCTTGCCACTTTGCATGGAAATTCCAACTGCAACGAGGACATCGCATTTCCTTACTGCAATTTTCTAACGCGAGCACTCCGGTTTCTTGGTGGAAACCCGCCCGGTTTTCCCTATTTTCCCCACACTTTTTTTCGTCCCGCTTCCTTTGCGTTCCTTCGTTCGTTATTTTTTTGAGGCCATACAAAATAATGTTTCATGTTGCAATAAATGTGCGATTCAGTCTGCTAGCCCTGCTCCCTTATATGCCATCTCCCTCCGAATCCCCGTCGCTCGTTCCGGCGTGTCCCTGCGCCCATGCATGCCACTCAACAAAAAATGCATAAATGAAATAAAGGAAGGCGCACACACATTGCTCATACGCAGCGTTGCACGCAGTTATCCTTGCGCCCATTTTGTCCTCCGACTGCAATTGTGTGCCGCTCACTTTTGAACAGCAGGAATACAATTTATTAACCCCCAGCCCTATTTAATATTCTTCAACAGGGCTTAAATGGCACACCACCTGGCCTTAGCAATTTGTAATGCAAATCACAATTATCATTTATGAAATACTTTATTTTCTATTTATTTTGTATATCATTTTACCATTATTTTACAAAATGTATATATTATTATTGGTAAGACTACAGACTTAAATTAATGATATGTTAATTTGTGTGTGTTTGTGACATATTTAAAGCAATTTCGAGAAGTTCCCGGATCAATTTAAATGTCTGCTGTCTTTAATTTGACTTTTCGCATGCTGTGAGCAAGAACCCTTCAATTTAATTAAATATCCCATGTTGTGGCTCTTAATTTCGGTTTGCAGGCCGCTTGTTTTAAGGCATCAATGTTTAATGAAGCGCCAAACGTTTTCGATTTCACAGACCCGACCTTTGTTTGTCGTCCTTCGCCGTCCTTTGCTTCCTGTTAACCCAACTGGGTCTAATTTGGCTTCCTCTCTTCTGTTGTTGTATTAATAATTCGTGCGTTGCGTTTCAGTCACGTTTTGCATGTCGGAAAATATTCGTGGCGCGTTGCCCTTGTCAATGTTGTCATTTCCTGCTCATCGTTGACTCTGTTGATTTTTGCATAATTTGTGTTTGGCCAGATAGCTTTAGGATTGTGTCAAACAGCACAATGCGGTAGCGAAAAGGAATATTTACGGTGAAGCAGAAAATCGAGCCCCGAAGAAACCGAATCTGTAATCAGTAGAAAATATGGAAGGAAAAGTAGAAGCGCTAAAGGAGTCGGAAGCAGATAAGATATCGCCTCAGTTTTCTGCAGTGAAATGTTTTCATTTTGTTCGCAAGCATCGGAGCATGAAAATCAACATGCGAATGCCATTGGCCCCTCGCTCTGGATTCTACCATTATTTCTTTGTGAACTGCAACAACAGTTGGCACATGAAAATGGAAAAATAAGGGGAAAATAAAAACGGAAAAATACAAATAGTAACAAGTGTTAACATAATCACTGGAATAATAAAATGTTTGCTTTACTCAGCAAGCTAAGAGGATTTAAAAAGATATTATTTATGGAATTAATGAAACCCACAAATATTGTATATAGAATTTAACCGGAAAAAGTTTCTGAAAATGTTTTTTTGTAAGCCGAAATTCCTCATGCAAAACGCCCAACCTGTAGGACATGGCCAAGTTGGGAATGCATTTCCATTTGCCCAACTTACCATTTCATTTTGGCCATTTCGTTGCTCGGCTTCGTGGCCGACTTATGCGTTGAAAACTATTAAAGTAGTTTAGCTTAGTTTTCTTGTTTCGGGGCAAAACTTTAATTTCACTTTCTGGGACAAAGAATATATAAACATTTGGGCACTTGGTCCGTTATGCCAAACCAAACATGGCTTCAATTTCTTGGGGAAATATTTAGAACTTTGCTCCCTCGATTTTCCCCTGGCTTCTTCGCTTAGTTTTCTGCCACCTGCCAGGCTCAAGTCAAACTTTATGTCGTATGCGAATAAAAAAAAACACAACCAAAATAAAACCGTACGGATAAAGTATTTCACTCCCAGAAGTTTTTCACCGAACAGCAGGGGAAACTATTTAAATTTTCTATGATACCTTTTTTTTGGCTTTGGCGATATGCTGGCTAAAAGAAAGAAAAAAAAAATTGGGAGGGAAAACTTTGCTATAAATAATTTTGCATTTTTATTGTGCATTTTATGCATTTTGTGCGCGATTTCGATTTGAAGTTGGGCTCTGAAATAAATATGAAAAGTTTTATTTATGTTTGTGGGTGTGCGGGTGTGGCTTTGGGGCACGGATTGGGTTCGGGGTCAGAAGCCGGGGTTATTCGGTGGCACAGCCGTGGGCGTTATATTTATGACATTTGTTTGCCAACAACTTTCAATAGCTCAATCACGCCACCCGCACATGCAATAGGCTAAGCCGATCCCCCTGGCCGCTTTGAGCCACCGGATTTGGGTGGAAAGGACTCCATCGAAAAGCAAACAAACAAGTCCTTAGATTTGAGATTGCTTATTTGGAATGAGTACTTAAAGAGTAATGGTGTTGTAAAAGAAAGGGGATTTAAATAAATATTGGTCTTGTGTATGTATAAATAATTATAAGATATTAGATATTAAATTCTCTCTGAGTCTTAACCTTCTCTTCTCTTATTTGCCATTCATTTTAGCTGGAAGGCGGAACACCATCAATGTGAGTGCTGAGGACTGCGTGCTCTTCCACTAGAGCTCCGCGCCGCTCGGGGGGCAATGAAATCGCGGAAGCTGCCAAAGGGCTTCGTGCTTTGTGGCCTCAACTGTTTGACCTTCGTCTACTTCCCGCTCGTCCTGCCCATCCTGCGATGCTCGGCCGGAGCATCGCCATCGGCATCGGCGGGCGGCGGTGGCTCAAAGACCGCCGACGACTTCGACTTCCGGATGCAGCGGGTGCGGAATGTCCTCAAGGAGGTGCCCCTCATCGACGGGCACAACGACCTGCCGTGGAACATCCGCAAGTTCCTGAAGAACCAGCTGAAGGACTTCCACTTCGGCGGCGACCTGCGAGAGTTGGCTCCCTGGTCGTCGAGTGCCTGGAGCCACACGGACCTGCGCCGCCTGAAGGAGGGCATGGTCTCGGCGCAGTTCTGGTCCGCCTACGCCCCCTGCTCCTCCCAGCATCTGGACGCAGTGCAGCTGACTCTGGAGCAGATCGACCTGATCCGCCGCCTGGTCCAGCTCTATCCACACCACATGGCCCTGGTCACGACGGCGTCTGGAATCGAGCAAACCCATCGGACGGGCAAGATAGCCAGTCTGATTGGCGTGGAAGGCGGACACGCCATCGGCACCAGTCTGAGTGTCCTGCGTATGTTCTACCAGCTGGGCGCCAGATACTTGACTCTCACACACACCTGCAACACACCTTGGTAAGTTGAGTTTACTGGGAACACTAAAAACTAATTAAAACTTAAATATAGTTCTCAACTAAACCATTCGCCATGGGAATAAGAATAATTTTCTCTGAGTTGCTAAACTTAATCATTAACTTCTATATTTGATTATTATTTACCAAAATAAATTTATTTTTTTAGGGCGGACTGCTGCAAAGTTGACGAACCGGGGAAGTACCCGCACATAGGCGGCCTCTCGCAGTTTGGCAAGGTGAGTGGTTCCTCCAAGGATTCCCCATCCCCCAACTAATTTAATTCCCATATTTACCGAACAGCTAGTGGTCAAGGAGATGAACCGACTGGGCATGATAGTGGATCTGTCCCACGTGTCGGTGCCCACGATGCTGGACGCTCTGGCCGCCTCGAGGGCTCCCCTGATATTCTCGCACTCCTCGGCGCACGCCATCTGCAATAGTTCCCGCAACGTTCCCGATCATGTCCTGCAGCGCATTGTGAGTCCATTATGGCGACATTAATCTGGGGGCACATTAATCCTTATCCACATACCCCAATTCCACTCTCCACTCTCCACTTCCAATGCAGGCAATAAACGGCGGGCTGGTTATGGTGGCCTTTTATCCGCATTTCGTCAGCTGCTCGGGACAGGCAACATTGCAGGATGTTGTGGGTAGGTGGTGGCCTCCGGCCCAGTGGGTCATTCGGTGGGTGCACTATTAATCTTTAAACTTGTGCTTTTCGGTCCACCCTTCAGCGCATATCAACCACATTAGGGAGGTGGCCGGCATCGATCATGTTGGCATTGGAGCTGGTTACGACGGAGTCAACTTGTAAGTACAGCGGCTCTTGGCCAGCGACTCTTGCAGCCCCAATTACATTTCATTTCATTTGGCAAATTATGGTCTCTCTCTCAACCTCTCTCTATTTTCTTTTTATTTCTCGTCTTTCTGCGCTTTTTCCGCCTTCTACGCTTTCTCCACTTTCCACTTAAGAGTGCCCAAAGGACTGGAGGATGTGTCCAAATATCCGCATCTTTTTGCTGCCCTGCTCGAGTCTGATAAATGGTCGGAGGAGGATATTGCCAAGTTGGCTGGCAGGAATCTAATACGTGTATTCAAGGAAGTCGAAGCGGTGAGTCCACAGTCCACAGCAAAAAACACTCAGAAATTGCTCACTTTTCTCTGGCATTTTTCTATTGTTCAATGCTCTTCCCCCTGAAGAATGCTTAGATACTCTGACAATGATTTTTCCTCCTTTTTTCCAAGCGGGACTGACACTTTTCAAGAACAAAACACTTTAGATGGAAAGATAATCCCTTTCATTGGGAATTAATAACAATAGTTGTAATGGAAACTGCAAAGCTTTTAAAGCAGTCTTTCCAGTAGCGAAATAAAATTTTCGGGGCAAAAATATTGGTCCTTAACCTCTCAAGATTGGAAGGGAGAAATAAACAAACCTATTTTTTGAGTACGTTGCAAGAGTATTAAATATTTTTCGATATTTTTTCTTGGTATTAGGCGCGTACCTGACCGACTTAAAGTCGAAGCCAGTCCCCAGAACTAAACACACATTTCACGGCAAACAAACAAAGAAGTCGGGAAAAAGAACATTGGTATGGTCTCCTCTCTGCGTTGTTATTGCAGTTGGAAAATTCCTTTCGCAAGGATAAAAGGAATAATGTGGCTTTGCAATGGAATTTGCACATACTTGGAGTGGAAGCCAAGGAGGGAAGGATAATGGGGAGCCGGGAGCAGAAGCTGAAGCGGGAACAGGACCACTGGCAGGACATTGGCTTGACGTCGAAAAGACGCAAGTTGTGAAATAATTTTAAAAGGATTTTCAAATGCTTATTCCGATATTTATACACGGGCCTGACCATCGCAACCGAAGCAACAGCTCCAGTCTGCAGTTTGTTTGCAGGATGCGGTTGGCTTGTTTGCAGTCTGCTCTCCTCTCGGATACAGCTTAAAGTCCTGCGAATGGGATTGGGATTTGGCCCGGCTCGGGATTTCTTTTGCTGCTCCACGATGACTATGTCTGGCCACTCCACGCTCAAGCAGCATTCAATTTAGATCAATACAGGATGCCCGGAGCCCCTCTCGAGGAAGTTACTCCTCGGCATTGAACGGCACTCGAGCGGAGGCTAGTGCCATTCAAAGGCTTGCAAGTGGGTTTGTTTTTCAGTCCAATGGCCGGATAGTTGGGTCTGGACTTTTCAATGCATGAATCAATGGGTATATGAACAGCTAAACGATGCAGGCAGAACTCCAGCCTATCAACGGTTGTGTGTTTGCCTCTTTTGAATGGAAAAAGTGCTTTCAATTAAATGATAGGTAGAGTGGAATGGTAATTAAATACTATGGATTTAGATTCAGGAGTTCCAATTTAGATGCACTTGTTTTAACTTTTCAAGAGACCACTTTCAAGTGTTTTGGTCATTTTCAGCCTCTCCTAAGGGAGAAAAAATTATTTACAGTTTACAAACAGGAGTCTTGCTTTCTTTACCAAATTCGAGATACAGGGCCTTACTTCCTTAAAATTTATTGAATTTGGTTATTTTTAAAAACGGAGGCAAAAAGTAAGATCAACTTTTCTTAGATATAGATCGATTCCCATTTACATGCAGACTATTCAAGCTCTCTAAATCAAAATAGTTGAATAATTGCCCCTTTCATCTTAGAAGCTGGCGAGTTTCTCCTTTGGCAGGACCAGTTTAAAGATTTAATAACAAAAATAAATCATACGCCCCTCTGAACTCTGGTCGTGCTCGTAGATTTTATTGCTTTTGCTGATTATAAAACCTCCTTCAAGTTCCTCCCAGTCGACACCCCGCCTTTTGACCAAGTTGAGAAAGAGATGCCGCAGCATTTTTTAATTTAGCCCTTGTCTCTCGCTGACTGAGAGACGACGACCAGGCAAACTTTAATCATATTCTCGCGCAGTCCCCTCAGCCTCTACGTTGTAATTAGTTTTAGTTCAGGGCGTACATATAATACGTAGATATACTTAATGTCCGTTATTACAAGCCGTTCTTACCCCATTCAAACAGGCAAACGGGCAAACGGGCGAACGGGCAATGGTAATAGTAACAACATAAAAATAAGGCCACAAAAGTATTGCCTACTTTGCAGCGCGACTGATTAAAATCGCAGGGCTTTTATTGCGCTTTGCACTCAGCAACCAGCCATATATACAATATACTCCTTTTTACTGCTGTTTATTACATGGCCATAATGCTCATTAAGAATTGTATTTTAATACGTTTCAGTTTGTTGCTGTGTTTTTTTTCTGGCTTCCCCCTTTTCCAGCTGTTTGCGGTAAAAAGTAATTAAAAATGTTACCCAACGCCTTTTATCTTTCTCCAAAAAAGCCCAGAGCATTGGAATTTAAGCCAGGCCATATATACTTATCGCAATGACATTTGCTTTTGTTTTGCATCAGCGCGAGTCCCCAGTTCATTGAACCGAACTCGAAATCCACCCATTCCATCCCGGCGAACAGCGCGGCGCAATAAAATACGTTATTGCCTACTTATGGACGTCGCCAAAAGCTCGGCTCGTAATGCAATTAAATAATAACGAAAAGCGGGTCAAATGTTCAATTATTAGAAGCTTAATGCTGTTTTGGGTTGTGTGTACCCAGGGGACTTGGTCGGTCATGGCTGTGATAATTAAGCAAGTCATAGAAATTAGGCAAAAGGCCATTTTAATGATTGCCATCTCGCACAAATGCTCACAAGAATATGTATTCGAGCTCAGACCAGCACATATATTATATAATACCCTTTTAGGCTGGACACGCACTCGGTCAAAATTCGAAGCGGCGTGTTCCTCTAAACGCTTTCGCTTAAATTTTTTGAAATTAAAAGTAATATTATCTATGTAAAAATTTCTATGAGAAAATTGTTTTTTTTTAACCATTTTGAATTACGTAGCCAATGCCAACCGAACTACTTAAATTTACAGCATACCACACGATAAATTTCTTTAAACCCTTTAACAACTTTTAAAAGTTGGCCACTGTGTGTCAGACTTTGGCCATCGAAAGACTTTTTATTTGAAAACTAAAAACCATTTTTTAAAGATTGGAATCACTTCGTTGGAGCATCAATTTTAATTCGGTTCAAAACTTAGTGCATTTCTGGAGCAAAAGACCAAAGCCAGATTCATTCCGATCAGATTTAGCAGAAGTAACTGGTTCTGGGAACACATTCCCAAGGACATTAGGGACAACAAAGATTCCCGCAAATTTGTGGGCGTGGGAGGCGGGCAGTGGATCTGTTCGGAGAGCCGTTGCCATAGCCATAGCCCATGAACATGATAATTTTCTCGACGCCAGTTTTTATCTACACAAAAGCAGCAGTGGCGGGGAAAAAGAAAAGCCAAGGATTTCAGACCCCCTCCACTGCCCACTCCTCGCTTGTGTTTGTGTAAATGTATCTTTTATTTTAGCCTTTTATATCTAATGCGAGAGCGAAGAACGGCATTTGGCACGACACATCGCCCAAGTGGCGGCAACGGAGGCTTTGTCTCTGAGAAGGGCGAACGTCCCCGGCAAATGGCAGCAATTTGTGCGAGACAAATTCATTTAAATATCTTTCGCAAGCCCTGTGTGCACTGGAAAATAAAGTGATTTCAAATGGGGGTCAATCCTATCTTGTTGTAATTCGGAAAGGAAAAGTGACAATAGCGCGATACCGTGCATTAAGTTGACACACAGAAAAACAATGAGGATGATTATTAAAAGTGACTATAATCTTATAAATGCCTTTTACTCTTAAAATGATTATTATTTCCTAAGGGATTTTAGGTTTTTTCAAAGTGTACTGTAAGTTTTCAACATCGAATTGTCATATTTTAAGATACAATTCAATCTTTTCTGATCCAAATAGGTTAAGCCATGATCAATCAAAATCTATATAATCGCCAATCCTTTATGATGTGGATTTTGTGTGTGTGATTTTGTGTGAGTGTTGGCGCTGACCTTCTTGCAATTGATTTGGCTTTGGGTTGCTTTTCTGGGAAATGCGTTGTTCTGCGGTGGTGTGGGAATTCGTTTTCCGCTTTGAGCTCTTCACTCAAACTGTAACTGTGAACTGGCTTTTCATTTCCACTGAATGGTTCAGGAGGGGATGGGGGAGCGAACGGTATACGAGCGGCGGAATCCAGCTCAAAGGCCGGAAGAGTCTAGCCAAAAGGCAAATGGCTCAAAGTTCCCATAGTTGTTGTGCTCGACTGTTTGTGCGAGTGGGTCATGCACACAAAGTGCAATGACTGAGCCAAAGCTGACGTTTTATTGTTGTTTGTGTGGCAGGGCGCACATAAAGCCTCATAAAAAAGTCGTAAATTCGATTGTTGTATGGCAAACAAAACCCAGGAAATGGGACCAGCCGACCTAGGCCTCACCAAAGCCTCCCCATCGACCCCCCTTGGCCCCCTCGCCCCCCTCAAAAGGTGTTTGGTGTTGAAAACAAAACATTTTCTCTCATTTTATTTCGTTTTTCCGCCCTCCCTCTTTCGGTTTTTTGTGTTTGTGGCATTAAATGTGCTTCAACTTTTGCCAGGAATAAGAGCTGTTTTGGCATTCAGATTTTGGCCTCACTTTAAGGATCCGGTGTGCTTGTATGTATGAGTGTATGAGTGTATGTGTGTGTGTGTGTGTGAAGAGTGCGTGTTTGTTTGTGTGTGCAAAAGTTAGACATGCGGAAGAGGTTTCTTTATGAACATTTGACTCTTTGTATTTACCTCGTGTTAGGTGACGAATTTTCATCGTGAACTTTAAGAGAGTCATTTGTAGGAAATTCATGAACTTTTCCAACATGTTTCTAAAGCACAAATTTTGCATTTGTCATGAAGTAGATTGTTAAAGGAAAACTTATGTAAAAAGAAATATGAATCAACAAAACCATTTTTATATAATTTTATTTTATTAAAGGAAAACTTATGTAAAAAAAAATATAAAAAAACAAAACCATTTTTGTATAATTTTATTTATGCCCAACAAATGTGGTACACATCAGTTTAAATGTACAAAAATAATTATGACAAATCTAAAGTCAATTAATCAACTTCAAAGTTCGAATGCAAATATACATTTCGCAATTTTACTAAGAGTGTTTACCATAACTAATATCCAAGTCCAATTTCGTTGCCCAAGTTCCGCGCTAAAACTTGCGAACAATATTAATGGCATATGAAGAGTACACGAGAAGTTCCAAGAAATCATTTCTGGATTTCAAAATTCAAACAAAACTTTGGCAATTACGCTAAATAACTTTCGTAAGTTGTGCCAGCTTGGCAATGGCGCATTGCAATCAATTTTCATCAATCAAATGCAGCTGTCGACACTCCCAGCCACATACACACATGCATAAATAATAGCTAATGGTATTTTAATCAAATGAAATGTACTCGATTTAATTGCAGGTACGCGATCAGATGGAACTTCTGCGAGTGGCACCCATTGATCAGTCAATTCCAGCCGAAGACATTATGGGCAGATCCTATTGTCGTTATCAAGGACCAAGAACGTGATAATTTCTCCATTTGTAAAGTTCACCCATATGCATAGCGTTTCATTCATGGCAGCTCCGTGGCAAAAAATGCAAAAAATTATGTCAAGCGTACGTGTTGTAAACTGAAACTTGTTTTAGGTTAATTGACAAAGTTTTCCTCCTCTCAGCAGCTGATGTTGTTGTTTTTCTTATTGTTGTTGTGTTGTTAATGTATGGGTGGCATGATGCTGCACATACTCTCACACACACGCATTTGAAAAAAACGCCGACATTTTGCAATCGCTCAGAGTCGAGCAGCTGGCCAACTGCTGCCGCAGCACTGAAAAAAGTGAACAATGTTTGAAATCATTTCAAATATAAGAAAACTTCTTACTAAAGTTCTGTTTGTCCGATTAATCGATTCAATTTTATATAGTTTTATTTAGTTTAAAAACTGACCAATCATCGAATTTAAGACTCATCATATTTAAATTTGTTAAAACTTTCTTTTAAATTTAATACTTTAAAAATTGTTTATGTAAATTACTTAGTTATACAAATAACCCTCATCGTCAGTTGAAAACAAGTTATTTTCTCAGTGCTTTCAACTCTGAGCGCAGCTGGCATCGCCCATAAACAAATACAAAGTGGCAAGAGGAGACCACCACCCACCCACAAAAGCCCCAAAACCTCCAACCCCACAATCCTCCATTCCAGAACTAGCCAACATTGTGTAAATATCATTGCCATGTTTATTTTTATCTCTAGCTCTAGTCTTAGCAAGAAAAAAAGAGAGCACAAGCAAAAAACAAGGATGAGAAACAGAAAAATCCATAGCACAAAAAAGCTAAAAAAGTGAAGTCTATAATAGCGAAAGAATAGCACATTTAGCCTCAAACTGATAAGCCGACAACAAAGCCGAGGCTAATCACAAAAGTCAAGCTCAATGTTAGTACAGAAGGAAAATCTAATTTTTCATCGTGTATTTTTTCTATGAAAAAGTTATTAAAGTTTACAAGGAATATAGCTAATAGTTAATGAAATAAATGTTGAATTATTGTACGCGACTTTTGCCGGGCTTTTTCGGACCTGATGGCGAATGACGTTCGTTTATTGGCTCGGCTTTTGCAGCGAATCGATTTAATTATAAAACATTGTGCGTTTAAAGGGTTTTTAATTTCGTTATTAACCTAAATGAAATTCCCATTTAATTAGTTAATTAACATTAAACATTTAATTAGCCAAGGTTTAATGCAAAACGAGCAACCGAAAAAAATGGAGTGTAATTCAATGCACGAATTGAATGTAACCACATTTTTTGCATCATTTGTAAGGCTTAAATACCAATCTTTTAATCAATATTCAAGTAAAGCGATGCAAATGAAAAACAGAGAAATGGTAAGCATGTTGTATAATTAATAGATCCATACCAAATTCAACCCGCCAAAATTGCAACCAACAAGCAAACCAATTAAGCGAGAAATGATATTAAATAACAATTGTATAGAAAACAAATGAGAAAAACTGTAAGCGCGTTTGTTCAAGAACAATTTAACACGTATACCTATACAAACTCACCTACACATAGTCATATATAGATATTTATATTAAATATTCTGATTTAATTTTGTCACACAATTTTCATAGGCAAAACTATTTAGGTTTTTATTATTTTACCATTCATCATACTCTTTGCAACACATCTTTAATCAAACAAATTGTTTTTTTTTTAAGGTGAAAAGCGTTCAAAAATAGAAAAAATTCAGAACATATTTTACATTTAAATTAGATGAGGGGAGAAACAAAAAAGAAAATAACACATGTGATCAAAACTAAAGTTAAATTAAAGATCTATATTATTACTACTTATATATAACTATGATAATTTAATGTTTAACAACACCATAAGACAGACAAAAATGAAAATACAAACAAATTCAACCATTTTTACTGCTGATGGACATTGAAAACAAAACTACACTTTATCGATTATAATTAGCCTATAATAAAGTGAGAAATTTAACTGTAACCATATAGGAAAACACTTGAAAACGCTGATCACGTGAGCAGTGTTTGAACACCTTGTAAATATTTGTATGAGTAATGATAAAAAAGTAACTGTATGAAAAATACGAGTATGTCAAGTTGTGAATTGGAAAGTATCCAAGAACAAACCAAAAATATTTAAATTAATTCATATGTGTAAATCGGAAGGTGTCGTAAATGGCCAGCAGAAAAATACCAAACGGAATATAAATAAATTCATGAAAATTAAAAGTCGAGATACAGATTGAAGTATTTTTTGAATAGCGAAATGAGGGGTTGGCTTCGTGGAAGTTTCGCGGGGCTTATTTGTTTGAGGAAACTCGCTTTCCCCTAAAGGAAATCAGTGGATGTAAGTGAAACTCTTCAACAGCCATCAACACTTCCAGCTTCACTTCCCTTTGCTTTTGTTATATTCTTATTGCGATGATAGCACTCGAAACACACATCCTGCCAGCACTTGGCTCCCGGATCTTTGCCCCACCCATTTATCTGTCTGAATCCTGTCGGGGTTGGCTTGTCAATTCGAACGTAAAAATAAAAGGATTTGCAGTTCCAGTTTGTTTATATCAGCGCATTTTATACGCCCTAAGCTGGGGTAGATAAAACTCCCGTGCTTGCCAATGTAATTCATTTGCGCTTTGGTGGCCAAAACAGTTCAAACAGTGAAAAATCATGGAATTTATCCCGCTTTTTGGGGCGAAGGTCAAGCAGCTGGAATCACGCTCGCCGCAAAACCACATAACTCAACGCTCGTAAAACTTGCAAATATTTCACATTCGTTTTATTTTTGTAGGCGGGGGCTTGTGCGCTGCGAGCGTTAAAAAACTATGCATCAAACGAAACGAAATGTGTGTTTTACATAAAATTTCAATTAAATGAAATAAAGTTTCGGTTTTGGGGATTCGTCCTTGGCACTAGAGGACCCATTTGCCGGGGGCTGGCAACGCACGTCTCGCTTAAATCATCTCGTTGGCAGCTGGAATAAAACCCGCAGTGCCAACAACTTTTGTTAAACATTTGTTACCAGCAGCCATCCCAACGGCAGCCCCAGCAGCCATCACTTACCAGTGGAAACTAATAAAAGTAATAAAATCCAAGGGCGGGAAAATCGAACCGAAGTGAAGCGAAACGAAAGCCAAGTACGTATAATGGGTACGAATAAAGTAGGATTTAAAAAATACATACTAAATAATACATACACCCTGTTTCAGATGAAGGTTATTAATAAGTCTAATTTACTATGGTATTACATTTGATTTAGCGTTTCGAGGTGTCTAGTTCGACTCCAAATCCTCTTATAAAAATCTGGACTTGCGAACTCTGAAAGGACCAAAAATATGAAAGCAAAAAACTTAGCAATAATAAATAAATACCAAAGAATGCCGGAGGCAAGCAAGAAAAAAGAAGAAAAGTGAAATAAAAAAATCATACTAAACATTTTCGTTTAGTTTCCAATGACGATTCGCTGACCCACCAACCACCACCCACAACCCACCAGCAACCCACCGCAAACAATGTTGCCGCCTTATTCCGACTTTTGGTGCCACCTCCGCCTTTTCCCATGGAATGCCACCAAAAAGGATTGCTCTACGCCATAAATTGTTGTATTTTATTGTCCAATTTCTTTTTATTATTTTTTCTGTGTTTCTCTTAGCCTTCTAGGGTTTTTTGCGCTGTATTGCTCATGCTTCATCTAGTGCTTCTTTTTTTTTTTTTTTTTTTTTTTTTGGCACTTTAAGCCACATGCTGAGTTGTCCTGCTCAACTGGACCAAGAGCAGGACCAGCACAAACTTAGCCACGTTTTGATTGTCGTTGCAAAAAATTGTTTTTCATATATAAAATATAAGCACATTCACGCGCACACTTTAAAAAATGAAAAATTCCAAAAAACAATTTGACTTTTTAGTTATTTTAATCTTGATGTGCAACAGTTTACATTATTTTAAGTGATTTTAATAAATAAATGCTTAAAAAAAGAAAAAGTTAATAACAAATATTTTCGCTGCGTGCAAGCACACAAACAATTATGTTTGAATTATTAAATGGACGCAAGGATTGGGAAAAAAGGGGGCCATGGAAGGATTGTTTTGTTTTCTTCGGCTGGCTGCTAAACAATTAAGAAATTCCTGAAATATTCAGAGTGTCATTGCCCAAAAACGTTGGCTTTCTTGGCCTTGCTGCAGAACGAGAGAAAAGTGCAGAGCAGCAGGTGAAAATGTCTTCTTTAGCGGTGCAAAAAGTGGAGAAGAAAAGTTGTCGTGCTGTGAAGCTGGAAAAAGGAAAACCTGAAACTGAAAATCACACAAATCGAATGGAATTTGAGGGGGAGAAAAAGTAAATTGTATGCGATTTCATTTCTCCCAACAATGCGTATGCGTTACGCGGCCGAAACATTTTAATGAGCGTTTGCATAACAAATGCGGTTTTCCACATCGTACAACCAGTGAAATACCACCCAGAACCACCCAGAAAAGCCACAGAACACCCTCTCTGACTGACGGAAAGCAGAATTTCCAGCTCAACTGAAACTGAGTAACTGTTTCATGCAATTATATTTAATGATGATGTTTATTGTGTAATACACTCACCCACATGGCCCTTTGATTGTTATGATGATGAAGCGACGAGGATGATGGCATCATCATTTCGCCATCGCCCCACCAAAGCTCATTTCAATTTATAAGAATTGATTTTGTATTAAGTAAATTGAATAATTTATAATGCAGTTACCGGGCATTAAAAAATCCGCACACATAACTGCCTCGTCAGCAGCTGGGTCCCTTGTGTGATGACCAATTGCCATATTTCAGACAATCGGACGCATTTGGGTTAAGCTTTTGCTAAGCTGCCAACAGATGTCCCCATTTCCTGTTCTAATCCTCCCCTCTGCAAACCTTTACCAATTTTTTTTAATTTAGATACTGTGTTCACTGAAAGAAACGTTAATATTTTTTGTAATCATTCGTTTTTTGTAAGCCCTATGATTTCTTTGTAAATTCAGCTTACGTTTAATACCATACTCAAGACTAAAAGAAGATATTTATAAATATATAAAACAACTCTTAATTCCCCAAGGATTTCATTTTGTTACAAGTATTCTTGTTACTTCCAAGAATTTTTTATAATAATTGGTTTCATTTTACCATCATAAAGCTACTCTATCCTTACGAGACTTTTTTTTACGTTCGCCGGTTGAAAATGTGGAATCTGCCCTGAACCGACATATGTTGTTGACAACCGCAAGGCAATTAATGCTTAGCACCACAAATCCTTGCCACAGCATCGTAAAATATCAAAAAGTTTCTGAAGAGAGAAGACGAGCTCTACGCCGGAATGAATCCAATTATGTGCTTAATCACTAAGAAGCCCCAACCGAGAAGGGATCGTGGAAGGTGGATTTTGGGGCGGGGAAAGCGGTCGAACGTCGTTGACAACGGCGAGAATGTTTGGGTGTGAAGTGATGATGATGGCGACGTGTTGTCAAAGTGACAAGTGCCCACACACACACTACCACACTTACTCACTTACCCATCCACTGGCCCACTCCTTCAAGCTTACTTTCCCATCTACACACACTCCTACAGTCGTACTTTCATTTGGATACACAGTGGAAATAAGTTAAGAATTTTTTTTGATAAATTTCTATTCATATAATATTTTAAAAGTTCTTGCAAAAGTACTTGGACTGTAAGGGAATTTTATTTAATCTTCATTACGAAATTCAAGCATTGTTTGCATAGCACATTTGTCTGATCAAATAGAATTCCTTGGCATTGTATTTTTTTTCCAGTGTTGCTATACCCGCACATGTGCCTGCGTAACGCTCATTCTTCCAGGCACTTGGCTCAACATGTGGCATGGCTTAAGGCGCACGGCCGGACGGCCTGAGCCTTTAAGCATTAAATACTTTAACACACAAGCGCTGTTAAAATTTATTCATGGTCGTTTTTAATGCCAGCGGGACGAGGGGGAGGGGCAGGGGTTACTGGCAGGCCCAGGCCAGGACTTGACATGCAAATGACTGAGTGTGTGTGTGTTTGTACCGTGATGGGTGATGGAGCCCCTCCGATGAGTCGCCCTTTTTTTTGCTGCCTCTTGCTCTCTGCTGTTATTGTTAAGCATGCTTTTCAAAAGCTATTGAATATGTAACCGCCCCCGATGGATTCGAGGCTGAAGAGTCCTCTTTTTCTGGCCCATCCCCATTCCCCATCCACAGGGCTCGTATAATGGCTATTTTTTACACTCATTTGGCAAGCAGAACTACAAACGGTTACGTTGGCTAGAAGCTCAGCAAGTAATTAAGTTATTATATAAATATTAAGTTGAGAATGCTTTACAAATTTTGTTGCAAGTAATTAAATTTGCTTACCTTAAATCAATTACATTTTCCAAAGACTTCAATTTTAACCAACAATGAATAACAATAACAATAAGTTCATATGTATTTACCTTAAACTGTTTTTCAATAAAAATATTTTCTAGTCTTAACTGATTTAGTCACAAAAGATCAATAACATTTTTCATAGAGGGCATCTCCTTATGGACTTCTGCATGCAAAATAAATAAATCTTGCTCTTTTTGGGCTCCACTCGGCCCGCTGTGCCATTTCACATGAATTTCATATAGTCGGGGGGCAGGAGGACCTTTTAGGCGTGGCCGGAGGGCCGATGTGATCCAATCACTGGTTAAATGGCGAGTAAACTGAAATGGAAGGGGTGGTGGTAAAAGGGGCGACAGAGCTTTCATTAGTAGTGCCACCAGCGAATCAATCCCACCCTCGTATCAATCGACATTTCGCTGAAAGCGGCAATTTAACACTTTTGCCCGCTGCCACGGAGTCGATAAGGCGGACGGGCCCCCTTCAAATATTTGAACATTTAATTTTAATTTTCAACTTTTCCGCTAGCACACCCGGCTCCATGTACTTTACGGCCTGAAAGCCCGGGGCTCGACACATGCGCCAAATATTTGTCACTCTGATGCCTGCAGGCTTGACTTGGCAGTAATTTTCACATTTTCCCCGCCCGTTGCCATTTGATTTGCTTAAAGGTTAAGCAACTGTGACATCCTGCCCGGATTTCAAGAGCAAGCCCCTTTGCCTGACTTTGCCCAAACACTTCTGTTGACACAATTAAAAGCTCGGAAAATTATAATGCAAACGTTAGTCGACTCGTGCGCAAATTAGAGGGGCAATAAAAAAAAGAACTCAAGAGCTTGACATTTTTGGTGGTAGTA